GACTGCTTTAAGAATATATGCATATTTGTTCAAGAAGAAAAAAGGAATATTGGGCGTTTATTTTTTCAAAATTGGTATTTGAATGGATTACATGAATGTCATCAGTAACATTTTTATTCATTCACCTCATTCCCCTAATATATGTAACTACTGTGTGAAAATATACCATATACACCACTTTTTCTCCTTACGTGAGGCAAACTCGAGCAGCACTAGCAAAAAAAGGTAGTAGATTGTGAGTAAATAGTACTTCGTACCGTATCCAACCAAGTACATTACCACATCCTCCTGGCTTTTGGGTCGCTAAATGAGGATTTTGCTTATCGCATATGGGTCCTCCCCCCCCCCCCCTCAGAGACAAAAAATGCAGGGAATAACAAAACCACAGAAAATGCCGCATTTGCCCGTATCAAGAGGCTAACCATTCACCAACATCCCCCATTCATAGTCATATGAGCAATGCTACGAATCTAGACAAGCTGAAACATCGGCCTTTAGATCCCTATTTGTCCACTGCCCTTCTTGCATCTTCTTCATCTGGCGCTGCTCCCCTATGATTCGGTCCTCCACCTCATCGATGCTGACCTCACCCTTCAAAATGGTGATCGTCTGTAAACTAACGGCATGATCGCGTGCGCGGGCATGCTCCTCGGATGGGGGGTCGTCAATAGGCTGAATTTGCTTCAGCTTCTCGAGCATTTCATTCAGCGAAATGGGGCGTGATGGTTCCTCAATTGGGGCCGGCGCCCCGACAACCTCACCCGCATCCAACGCGTTCTTCACATCCACCCAAGAGCCCTCCTCACCTGGGGGTCGTGGGGGCTCCCGCCACGCGCGCTCCTCCACGAGATTTTCCAAAAACGACGCCCGCGTGGCCTCCGTTATGCGAACATTATCCGGTGCGTGGACGAGGACGGGGTGGCCGGCCTCCACCAGCTCCGCAGCCGCCGTGCTCGACTTCGGCAAGGGAACGGTGCATCGCACGAGCTTTGGCGGAGGAGCTTTGGAGTCTAGCGGGGAATCCGACGGGGAATTCTCCGCAGGAGAAGCGGCCGAAGAGCCCGTAGGGGGTGCTCCCACATCCGGCATTGCCGCCGGTCGAGAATCCCCCTCGTCGTCCTTGGCGAGGTGGGATGTCGAAGAGGAGTCCGCAGGAGGGGATTTCTGGTCGCTCTTCTCGCCGGTATGGCTCGTCCTCAGGGTTTTATTGAGGATTTTCGTGAAATCAATGGTACCGGCCTCGGTGATGCCATTCACGTTGTCAACTGCGTTACCCTCCAGTTCGTCCAAGGCCGCACGAAGCTCATCCACGGTCCGTTGAAGCTCCTCCTCATGGTCGTGAAAGTTATGCACCATATATTGCCAAAATTTGAGCTGCTCCGTGAGCTGGACGATGCGTCGTTCCTGCATCCCTTGCCTTCGGTTGGAATCCGCGGAAACGCGCCGCATCACGGTATTCGCCTCGTCTTCAGCCCGCTCCAACAGCAAGCGGCGGTTGCACGCGGCCTCAAACTCAACCAATTCCTTCGCGTAGATTTCAATTTCCTCGTCGGTCAATCCCCTGGCGCGACCGCGCCAGCGCTGCCCGATGGCATTCGGATTCACCGAACTCGTCCAGTACCGGAAGCGACCCCACATGCGTCGAAGGAAACTTCCCTGACGTAGCGACTGCACCGTACCGGATACGAAGCGCGTGTTCGCGGTAAGCTCGGGGAAGGAGCCCTGCAACATCCCCGCACGGATGCTGGCGCCGATGGCGACGGCGTAGTCCGCCGGGCACGTCTCCTCCTTCGCGATCGGGCGGCCGAGGTATTCCGTTAACATGTGGCGAATCGGGGGGTCGCGCGTCATGGCGCCGACCAAGAGGATCCTATCGATATCCTCCGGTTTAAGCCGCGTGTGCTCGAAGAGTTTGTTCACACAATTCAGGCAGCGCTCCCGCAGAGGGCGCGTCAGGGCGACGTACTCGGCGTGTGTTAAGGTCGCCTCCAATGGGAGGATATCCCGCAGTTGTTCGGAGAAATGAAAGGCGCGGTTGTAGCCGTAGTACGTCTCCTCCGAGTGGGAGAAGTGCACCTTGGCCTTCTCCGCCTCGAGGAGGAGGTGGCGATAGGTGGACACCTCCTGCCCCACATTACCCCCTTCCACCTCGATGGAGACCCGCCATTTCTTCTCGAACATCTGCGCGAAATGTTGGGAAATGGCGTCATCCCAGTCGTTGCCGCCAAGCATTGGATCCCCATGGGTAGCCAGAAGCGTGAATCTCTTTCGGTACGTGTCGTGCTCCATAATCGCACAGTCCAGCGTCCCCCCACCAAGGTCGAACACGAAGGAATATTGATACCGCTTGGCCGATCGCTCCGGCGACGCGTCGGGCTCCTCACGCATCTGGCTTAGTACGGTATGCGTCAAGCAGGCGGCCGAGGGCTCATCAATGATTTCCAATACATCGAAGCCAGCGCAGAGGGCCGCGTCCTCCGTCGCGACTTTCTGTTGGGGCGTGAAATAGGCAGGAACGCTGACCACGGCGATGTTCACCGGCTCCTTCAAGTATTTCTCGGCCTCATTTTTGAGATACCGCAAGAACATCGCGATGATGTGCACCACGGTATACGAGCGACCCATAATCTCGATCGTGATATCCCCTTTCTCACTCGTGGCAAGAATGTTGGTCTTGTTCATCTCCGCGCGCACCCGCCCCAGCTCCCCAAAGCTGCGCCCAATAAGCCGCTTGCCACTGCAAAGCGTCGCGCTGGCGCTCGCCCGTACACACGCCCTCGCTTCCTCGGCAAACATACGCACCTGATGGTTCTTATCAAAGGTCACGGCGGTCGGAAAAACCCACGATCCGGTCGGTGAGGGGATAATCTTGGGTTTCTTCGTCTTGTCATCGATGTACGCGATACAACTATTGGTGGTGCCGAGGTCGATGCCAATCACACGGCCCTTGCGCACCTCGCTCGTCTCCTCGCGTACGACGTAATACTGCTGCCGCATCGCCTCTCCCATCTTGCGGCGCCGATCCGCCTCGATTTCCATGGAATTTTGTAAATGCAACGTTGCTCCGCCGCGTGGAGGGACCATCCTCGGAGGCCCTACTGCCCCAGCCCCGCCCATAGAACCATATGGAGAAGGCATGTGCATCTGTAGGGCAGAAAAGGTAGCGCCAATGGGTACGCGCCCGCGCATTGCGAGCTTTGAAATGTGCATAGACGCGCGTATTTAATAATAATAGTGAGATTATTAAGAAGTCGTAAGGGTTGGGAGGAAGGAAAACAAGCGAAGTTAATGCCTCTTTGTTCTAAGAAAAGGGCAGATGGCTATATCAATATTAATCCTAAATAATACTCATGGGGCTCAACAAACTACGAGTAAAGGATGAATGAAGAGAAAAGAAAATTTTGAAACACAGAATCTAGCACATTAAAGCCCCTCTTGCCATCACGTTCATGTCATTGGTCCTTTTCATGCCTAAGCCCAAGCACGCGAAGAAAAAAGAAAGTTGTCGTTCATTTTTGAGCCCCATCAATCCGAGTCACTTTGTGTTAGGTTTCGGAACTTTTTCTTTAGACACTTGATATAGCTCGCATCTATCGTCGTACAGGACTCGAGTGCCGGAAGTGCTTTCTTTTCAACTAAGTCATAAAGAAACTCGATCCTTCCCGCAGCCATCTCCTCAATTATGAACTCTATCAAGCGAACTGAGAAGGTAAAAAATCCTAACCCGAGAAAGCACTGAAGTATATGAGGGATGGCGTCACTATAAAAGTTGAAGCGACCGTATTCCAATAACCTGTGAGGTGATTCCGGAGCACCCGAAGCCAGATGATCACCGTCGTCAGGATCGCCGCCCAACTCTTGAGGCATGGATGATCCACTAAACCCCGAACCCGTGTTCAGAACTTCGGTGATTGGATTCATAGAGCAATCCGCGCTACCACACCTCGTATCCGTGGCGCTGCCCTCATGCGGCAGCGACGCTTCCAAAGGGTATAATAACTCATACCGTCTTCGCCAGCCACGATGACGGTCTAATAACCCACGCCTTTCATCATGCACTCTCCAACCGAAGAAACGAAGAAACACGATATAGCTATAGTAGATACGATCTAGCATTCCTGGCTCCCGAAGACTGACGAGGTCGGCATCGGTGATGGGTGTCATCTGGCACGCGTCGGCCGATGTCAGGGGGGGTATTGAAATATTATTCGAAGAGGAAAGTGCAGGCGCGGTCCTCGCCTTGGGATCACCCGTGGGAAGACTCGTTTCTTGAGAAACGACTTCTTTCTGTTCCAATACTTCTGAATCGGTATGCGGCAGTACCGGCACCGGATCCCACTCGGGCAAGCAAGGAAACAAAAGGGCCAGCAGGAGCTCCCAATTCCAACGCAGCAACTCCAGGCCGTCCTCGGTGGCGAGATTTTGCGCGTAGCGCTCCTCTGCAACCTCGCCGAGCTCACCGACGTTGGAGGGCGGGAGTAGCATTTGGTGGAGCTCGAAAACGCCAAGGCTCTGGCTCCTCACAATGTCGGGAGCGGATGCATCCCGCTTCTCGGCATTCCCTGGAGCGCGGAGTTGGCTAGAAAAAGAAGCCGCTTGAGTATCACAGGGAATCACAACTTTAACGGGAATCTCACCCTGATAAAAGGCCACACTCGGATGAGAAGAAACCATACGTAGTAAATTCACTTCCCTCACTACGTTTTTCTTGATTCGAATTCCCTCGAAAAAAGAAAGACAAAACAAACAAGTGAAAATGAGAAGGAAAAAGATAAAGCATATTTTTGACAAGATATACAGAAAAAGTTGGTAAAAGGAAGATTCCTACAATCACACACGCCCAAATTCATAACCTAATACACAACAGCATACCACATTGGAACAATGCTGAGCCCCCTCACTACGTTTGAACGGTGTTTTCCCCCTAGAATTTCTCTAGTGACCACCATCAAAGGCTATGTGTCGCTAGCCATGAATGTACAGCGACCAGGTGATGCTTGGGTATCACAGAAAACGCATCAAAGACATCCACTTTGGAAGGTAAATCATAAAAAGTGGAAGAAAAACTTCAAAGGTCATCTCCTTCGGAGTTAAAAGGATGCAAAGAGGGAAGCCGCACCACAGGCCGAGCAACTGGAGTACCACGGTAGCGTCCTCGGAAAAGCTCCACATCCCCATACGCCGAGGGCAGTGTATTCAATGGCTGCGGAGCCCCTCCAAGGTTAGGCGCTGTGTTCCACTGAAATCCAAACTGAAGGAGATCCTTCAAAAGTTTTTTTTCCTCCAACTGGCGCACTTCCTCAATGGTTCCAACAACCCTTTTATTGACAAAGAGAACCGGTAAATCCCTAGTGGTGGTGTGAGCCGCGATCTGATTCCGCAATGTCAAGGCATGGAGATGGTGATCGAGTTCCACAACCTTTAGTCGCGTACAATACCACGACAGGTAGTGCCGCATGTGGCCGGTTTCAATCTGCCGTGATCCCACCGTAAACACTATTGCCCAGTATCGCTTTAAGTACTCCTCTAAGTTGTCCGAAAGAAACGGAATGTGGGGACGTGGTTTGTTGAGAACGACGCGCTGCACAAGATGCTGTGCGGGAATTTTGCGCATTACCACTCTTGTCTTACCTTTTAGTTCAAATACACATATTACGAACTACCATAAAAGGAATAAGAATAGGAAAGAGAATGACAATGGGGAACATCACGTTAACTGCTGCTTCTCAAAGCAAAGATCATTCTTTGAAAATTCAAAAATCTAAGATTAGAGTGGGAGATCAGGAGTATAACCTTCTGCTCCATCCATGTACGGACAACCACTATTAACTCCAAAAGTTAGTCGATCATAAACGAATAATAAGAGGACATGCAACAAGGGGACACAAATATATATATATATATATATGTGAATATACAGAGGAAAGCGAACCACAGCATTCCCTTTCGAGAAGGCGATGTGGATAGTTCCAAGCATCACCACCTTACCTATTACATCATCGTTTTTTTTTACTCTCCATGGTATGCTATTCCATCCTGACTTTGGAACGAGGGAGCATGGTGCGAGAAAAGCTACGCACGGTGTGCAGGTCCCGCTTATCCAGCCCTAGCTCGAGCGCGAGCTGACGAGTACGCAATGGCAGAAATTCGTTATCCGGACTCACCTCCCGCATCATCCCCCAGCACGAGAGGCGATGTGCCTCCCACTGTCGCCACTCCACCGCCTGCCCGCAATCCAAACACATCACCACCTGGTGCTTCTCCCGGTGCGGCTCGAGCAACTCAAGCGGGATGCTTCGGTTGCACTCCGAGCACCACCGCACCGACTTGATGCAGTCATTCCAGTGGGAGAAAAAGGTGCTTGAGGGCACGAAGGACTTGCAATTTCGGCACCACTGCTCTGGAGTACTCGTCATGGGCAACCCTTTGATCAGGTGGTAGTAAATTCGCGTGGGCTCGTGCACCATGCCGTCGAGCTGGAGAAAGTCCTGAATATTTCGCAATGTGAAATCCTTGAAGGAACGCATCTGGGCGAGGAGGTTGCCTACGTCGTTGGTATCAGCCATCTGGCGGCCGTTGAGGTTGACGTGATACGAATTCCCGTACATTAAAATGCTCATCGGGCAGAGGCAGTGCCGCGGGAAGAGGGGAAATTGGCGTAGTTCGTATGTGATTTCTGGATACTGGGGGTGAAAAGTCGTGATGCGCATGCGGGGGATCTCGATGGTACGATGCTCTTCTGGAAAATGCACCGTGATGTAGTGTTCCTTAAGCCCCATAACCTCTCCAACTGCACCGGCTGGAACGCCGTAGGAAGCCTGCCCATCCAGGAGTAGATGAACCTTCGAACCCGGCTCAACACTCAGGGCGTCAAATAAACCTAAGGAAACTGCGGTGGTAGACTGTGCAAGAATGTTAACCAAAAAGTTACCGATCTCGATACGCTTAAGCTGACGGTAACGTGACGGCATAATTTTAACGCTAGGCTGTTTGGGGAATCGCGGCATGAAGCGTACGATAGCCTCCGCGTTGGAAATGATCCCATCCCACTGATGGCTGGATTCCTGCCTCGCACAGTTCACATCCTCAGGGCTGCTAAGGACATTGGAGTGGGTAGGTGTCGTTGCGTTGAGCTCAAAAGGGGCATCCGGATCGTCTCCGATATCGCTGGTGGTCGATGATACAGCCTCATTACAGACCTTTTCGGCCGCACCACTCTGACTTGAGTTACCATCCGTGGAAAGCGCCTCCAGTTCCTTGATATCCTCCAAATCGAGGTTGCCGTAGAGCGCTTTGAGCGTGAAATCGTTCAGCCTCTTTTCCTGCCCGTGAGTGCGCTCTAGCAAAACTTGCTTCGGGAACATTTCGCCCCATGAATCTAACTGGAATAAGTAGTCTCCCGTATCGCTGGTGGGGTGCACCGGGAGCCTCCAAAAGTCCGCTGCGGCAAACACACGCAATCCGCCAAAGGGCTCCCTGAGCTTTCCACGCTGTCGACGACTCACCGCATCCATGGAAAGCAACACCACCGATGGAATTCGCTCCAGGGAATCAAGAATAAGCACATCGGTATTGCTCAGACTGGGAAAGTTGCCCGCATAGGTGGATTCGACAAGCCGCATGTGTCGCTCCAACGTCCCCTCAAGCTGCTCCTGTGAGGGTAAGTCATCCTGGCTGAGCCTCAGACCGATAAAATGGTGCAATAAGTACCCATCTAAGCGGCTCGCACGGCGGACATCGGCGGAGACAAAAGCGACCCGCTTGCCTAGTTTCTTTTCGCAATGCTCGCCTAGCGCCTTGAGAATCGTGAGCTTACCGGTGCTGTAATGCCCACAAAAGAGAACATTTTGAGACATCCCTAGTGCAGCGCGCACCTCCTTCATGGTACTCGCGCTGCGAACGTGGTTAAGTTTTCTGAAATCACCTACAAAGCCTCGTGTGTCCACCTGACGGACGAGATGAAAACCCCTTCGCGGAAGTACACGACCGAACATCGCATCTGGATCGCTGAAGGAACTATGAAAAAAAGAATGTGCCCCCTGCCGCCTTGTTGCTTTTATATTACCACTACCACTTAAATTATGTTCTGTCCTAAAAAAAGGGCCTCTATGATTGAAAAAAAAATGTGTAGTGCACGCGTTGATGTACACTAGTATCGTTCGAATCCCACCCCTTTGGCAAATCGAAGAATACAATAAAGATAAATAAAATGGTGACCTTTGCTTCACAAAGTAATCTGCTTAATAACAGCAACAGTAAATGGGTAGAATGGAATAATATTGAGCTTATTTTTTTTGTTTCTTTTCCTCCATTACTTCTCAGATACCCTCCTCCCATGCATATAAAACGCAAGCGTGAGATATGCTCAATACAATAAATGCCTTGCACACCTATTGTGTCTATTAAGCACATCCTTTCGGATTGAGGGCTCCCACAATTGACTTCTACGTGCCTTCCTCCTCAGAACTTTCCTTTATGTTAAAAAGGAATCAAGGAGGAGAAAAGATGTCAACCTTGACCGAAATAAGCCTCACTCGACTCTTTGCTCTTCTAAAGATGGTAATCAAAGCTATCCTCTTCTCTTTCAATAACTTCGGATGCTGAACGCAAGAGAAGGGGGGCGAATATATTCATACTGCTCACATGTGCTGTGTAGAAATCGGATCCCTACAGACACACATAATGCTCTTAAGAGAAAAGGAGGAAATTAAGCTAAGGAATCTGACACCGCCCCCATTATCACGCGTTACAAACATAAATGCTCCCGTTGAGGTAATTCGACCGGATCACTATCATCAAGCACAACAAGATGCTTCTTCCCGTGAAAACGGTAGACAATTTTAAGCTGCTTCGGCTCCAAGGCGTAGGGATCAGGGTCGCAGAAGCCCACCAATGTGCCCTTCGGGCCTTCAGGAAGCAGCAAGGCCGAATCCCGCACCAGGGTTTGCAGAGCGATCGTAACATCTAACGAGCGGGGGATATTGTCATCCCCGACTGGGTCGGTACCATCCAGCTGAAATGCTTCTGCCTTGCTAGCCTCGGTTGCCGTCTCTCCCTTCGCCCCAGGGCTCACAGGGGAATTTGGTCGCGGGGTGCGTGAAAATGGCAACGATGACAAAACTCGAAGGACGCCACGGCGAAAAATCCCCTCATGGATCCCCTCGACTAATGAGAGGCACCTGGACACGTAGGAAGTACCCGTACGAGCGGAGCAAGTTGATGCACTATAGTCAGGCTTTAAAATCCCGTATTGAGCATTGATGATAACTAACCCGTCGCAATTGCACTCCAGTGAAGAGATCTCCATAGCCTTCCACGCTAGCGCCTGTTGCTCCATTATGGCTCTCTCGCGAGCGAGGTCAATCTCTGCGATATGCTCCCTACGAAGTTGGCCAAGCTTCTTGGCTGTCTTCGCGTTAAAATACGGACGATACAGAAGTTTCCCCAAGCGGTATAAACATAAAGGAACAGAAAACCACATGATGGAATGACTAATAGTTGGTGAGATCATGATAACGATTGGGATACTGATGCGATGTTTACCCCGCTTGTAGAGCAGGGATAGTTGGTTTGTCATCATGTGCTGCGAGTTGTACACGAAAAATGAGGAGACCGCAAATGGACTCGGGGCGTACGGAATTTTGGTTACAAAAGATAGGCCGTAGTGCTTTAACAGCCTATGGTAGTACCACACCTCAAACCCCATCTGGGTTTCACCGGAAAAAACAGTAGAGGAAACATAGTACTTCACGCAGCCCTTTGCGGATGGGTACCCGGGGGCATGAGCGTCGCCACCGAATGTCACCTCCGAAGACATCGACGCAGCAAAAGACAAGGTATTCAGTCCAACATGCATAGACAAGTACTGAGAAGTACCCTCCCATACACGAAATAGGGAAGTTCGAAGAAAGCCATTCTCACTCAGACACCACGTGATGGTATTCTCCAGCTCGGTTATGGAAGAAAGCTTCCGCGTAAGCGACAACTGTAGTTTTTGTAGCAGACCTACGCCGTCAAGCAAAGTCAATTTGGACCGTAAAGACCACAGTGGGCTCAGAACACGCTCCTGACGAAGCAAGACTTTTGGCCCCTTCATACGAGTCACCAGATCAGCAGTGTAAGTAGTAACGGGACTGCGTTTATACACAGAGGAGGCTCCCACAGAGAGGCTCGCCACCTTTCCATGTGCGGTGCCTTGAGTGCGGAAGACGAAATTCAGCGTCGGCGACACCGCATGCTCGAAGGAGTGCTGGAAAAGCATACTTCGTGGAAACGTGGCTAGTAAAAGTGCCTCCATTGGAGAGATGTTCTGCAGAGCTAATCTGCGAGTGGCATCGCCAGAGCGCGGAGCCATCGCGGCAGTGTCGGTAGTGCTGGATTGCAGTTTTCCACGAAGGCGATTCTGAAGCTCTCTGGAAGGAATTAGAACAATTTGCGGTTCTCCATCTATTTCTACCTCCATAGCCGTCATTTGCGCGTGAATTGGCTCTGAAGTGCTGGAGATTTCCTTTGCCTCGGAAGAATCATCCTCGCTGATTCGCTTGGAAGGGGAAAAAGAGGGAGGGGACGCAAATGTCGACTTCTGAACCTCCGCCGCAGCGAAGGTGTCGCTTGATGGCACCTGTGCGTGCAGAGTTGTTGCTTTAGAATCACCACTCGCGTCATTAGACATTAGTACGGCGTCTGAGGGAGGAGGAGGTGGAAGCGTAGAATAAGATGATGATCTAATCGGTAAAATTGAGGGCAAGTACCAAAACAAATGCGCGATGGAGTAGTTGATAGTGATATTCGAGGTCGCGGAAAGCATTTTGGCAGTGTTGATCAATTCCGCCTCCCGATCTAGTGACCGGAGGTAGAGAATAACATCGTTTCGAGAGGCCCAGCTCTCAGGAACCAATGCCAAGCGGTCCGGGCCTTTGGTCCCGACCGCGTCGTACGCAGCACGCTTCTTAATATCAGAAAGAACCGAGTAGGCCTCCTGCAGTTCCAGGAATCGGGTGTTCATGGCGTTTTTGACCGCTTCCGAGTGCATCATGTACATGTCGGTGTGATAGTGCTGGCTAAGCTTTAGGAAAGCACGCCGAATCTCGTGTTGGGTAGCGTCTTTGCTCACTCCAAGACGCATGTAGTAGGTACTATTGTCAGGCATAGTGTTCTCATTGAATGAATGCTGCCGCTGGTCCTCCTCGTCATCGCTGTAAAGGAGCTTAGATTGGCGATCTTCAAAGGAAGACATCCCTTTATTTCCTTATTATTATTTTCGTTTTTATGGAGAGGGCGGAAGGGGCAAAGAAGGTAGTAAATCGTAAACGGTAATCTAATAAATAGTAATGAATGTCAATACTCTCGAGACCCTTAAAAAGGCAAACACTTCTCTAGCTTTGCTATAAATGTTCTTTTACTAAATAGAAAATAGCTACTAAAGTAAAAGGAAGGGGGAAAAAAATATGGATATAAAAAGCTTTCACTACATAAACTGTTGAATGATAACAGAACCTAAACTCAAAAACAAGTAAACCTGAGAAGAACAATTATGTATTTAAAAAAAAAGGCGACCTATGGCATATTATACTCAAATATGGAGAAGAATTTAACGCACGATTTGCTCTCTGGTATAAAAAAGACTAGAATACCTTTCTATCATTATCACATACAAGAATCGTGGTCAAAATTGACAGCAATCCTAAAAAGATTACCTCATCTTTACAATAGTTGAAGTAGTCAACATAGTCCTCATGATAGAAAAACAAGAAATTTAAACAAGTATAGCAGAAAATGTTAAGTGAGAAAAAGGAAGCGTTGTCTTTACAGACTATATTAAAATTAAAGACATTATGTCCTGAAGTATAGGGAAAAAGAGATTTAAGTGAGAAAAAATGACAGAATGAGCAGAACTATCATGACATAACTACCTCAGCAGCCTGTCGAGCTAAACTAATGATTACATTCAAACGATCCAAATACCATCTGTGACGCGAAAACAGAGACCCATTTTCCCTGGCATGATTATTGTTGCTATTAAGTGACTCCGAATTCAATAAGAGCGTGCGAATCACTCCGTGCATCCCACGAAAAGGTCGCTCCATCACAAAATAATATGTGTGAACTGCGTCAAGAGAAAAATGATTGAGTACAGCAGATGACCTTTCAGTATTAATTATACAATTTACCTCTCCTTTGTGGCATAACAAATCCAAAGCCCTATTATTTATGTTAACTGTAGTAGCCATCCTCAGCAGTTCCATCGGTGAAGCCCATTGCATCCTGTCGAGGCCGAGACGTAGAGACTCTGTGGGTGTTCCAAAACAACTCCCCCTGTCTTTACGTGAAGGCAAAACATCGGAAAAGGCCGCTACCACATACTCGCAAACTTCTTCCTCAAGGTTGTGTGAGCATTGGGCGAGACCTATCCAGAGGAGCCACACCGTGAGCTCGTCAAGATCATCCGGGGATGTGAGAGATTTGTGCTCAGAATGAGCAAGGTTAGACTCCTGTGCTGGTGACGCCGCCGAATCCCACAGCGCGCGCAAAAGGTCGAGTGGAAAGGTGAGGAATGTTGCCTCCGGAAATTGGAAGAGCCCACGTAAAAGTAGACGTGCCTGAGAAGAGGTTAGGACGTGCATACAAGCGGTTCCTTGGGTCTTGGTTTTATATCGATCTCTTGCATCGCCTTGCATTCTCAAATCACATGTACCATCACGATTAGAAGAAGGTGATGTGGTTGACGTGAAGGTGAAAAAACCCTCCCGCTTCATGAATTGTATCCAAGGCTCAAGGGCACACACCTGTGATCGCACAGCATGCCATCGCTCCAAAGCACCATCATCATCATTGCCATCTTTCTCCGTAAATGCACTGCTCCCGCTTGACTCGTCCAGCAGCTTCTCTCGAATATATGCATGATAACTGCTGATATTGTTGTAACGAGCGCTGTATTTTTCGTACTGCGATGTAGACTCTATTACATTGTCGCCGCATTTATAAAGCAAGTTCATGATGTTCATCCAGTCCTCCTCCACAGCATACTGAAAGCGCCGCCCTACTGCACATAGACATCTCCACAGAGCCTTTAAGCACCAATCACTGTAGGAAGAAACAAACAGACACACGTTAGACGAAACAACTTCGTTGTCCTGATCAATACAGGCCGTTGCGGTGATCACGTCTTCCCGAATAGAAGTGCGAAGCGAAGGGCAAGCTCTAGCTAACAGCAGTTTTGGGGATCGCATTGAAGCTGATCCTTCGTTATCAGGCCGTTGGAGACTGGAAGGCGCACGCAAGCGATTTCTCCTCCGATTTCCAGCTGAATTTTGCTTCGGTGCATTTACAAAATCGAAAGCAGCGGCAGCAGCGGATGCGTCGCGACTCGAAAGCATTGGGTAAGCCTTTGTTGCACGCGAGAAGGCCTCAGACAAAATAAAAACGAGGTAGTGTAGACCGTACTCTACCCGTGAATAGTTGAAACAGGAGCTAGCACACGGTGTCCTTCCCCACTCTGTCACTTGACACGTCTTTAGTGTTTCCGTTATTGCATTTGGTTGGCGTTGCTGCTCCTGAGGTGCAAAAAAGAGCTGCACACTGGGCTGTTGCTCGAATACATCTCCCACCTCGGGACACAACACCTTCCGAGTTTGTTGCCAAATAAAAAAGCTCGCCACCTGCAGACAAGAAAGTGATGAAGACGTGCAAGTCCTTTCTTTGGCGGCACTTGCCGGCACCCCATGAACACTAAAAATGCATGGAATGAAAGAACCCCCATAACGAAACTTTTCACAGAATGGAGTGGGAATGGATGAAATAAATGCGGCATCTGCCATCATTTCTAAATATTCGTGCGATACTCCAGCGCTTCGGCTTACCTCTTGGAACTGAATACCCAACAGCTGATTAAACATATCAGCTTCGGTATCTGGAGCATGTAAAGAAGCACGAAGCCAGGAGAGAAAAGGATGAACGAGTGCGTCATCCCATAAAGGGAGGGAGTTGTGTGGATAGATATTCACATATTGAATTCTACGACAACTATGCCTTTTTGAATCATTTTCAAGGGCACAAGGCTCAGTGAGCGGAGCAGTAAACATGGGAACAGAAGGAATCTCCTGCGGAAGATCAACAACCGCGCATAATGAATCGACAAGGCTACTCCATTTGGCGCAAAAGGTAATCATAGCGGGGGTGCAAAGAGTCTGATACCACTTAAACAGGTTTGTTTGAGGTGACTTGGAGGCACTGAAAGGATCGTTGAACTTTTTAGCAGTCAATTTTTTACCATGAAGATGATGAAGATATCTAGCAGACTGATGGAATAAGCCGAGGAAAACGGTGGCAGGAATCGGCTCAAAAGGAAAAGATGATACACTGCATAATTTTTTGCCGGATGCGGAAGTCGATATCAGGACAGAAGTTTCCCTGTCAGCAAAATTACAAAGGCGACCCTTAAATTCACGCAGACCTTCAAAGGATGGCTTTTCTGCTTGTAGCTTCATTAGCGTTGTCATATCCAACAAAAGGGAAATCGAGGAGTGATCGCAACACCCCCGCCTCATGCAGCGAGACCAAGAACGCAGTAACAAGGCTCCTAATAGGGTGTTATCCGTAAAATATCGACACCCAGGAGAACTAATCGGTGACAAGGGAGAAGGTGAGCCGGAGGCAGGCCCGCTTTCCCTTCTGACTGGCTTAATCGATGATGAAAAGCTAGTCGAGTGTGTGTTCAGTTGCTTCTCGTTCAACAACGAGGGATCATCACCATTTGAGTGTCTTCGATCAGAACCTTTGATGGGCTTGGCCGCAAGATTCCAGTGGAGCCCTAAATCTCTTTCCAGCTCCTTTATAAAGCCTTGATGAAGTGTCGGAGAATGCTGCAGCCGAGCAATCCATTCCTGCCACACACGAATAAATGCTGTCAGAAAAATATGTGAGGGTATACAGTAGGTTTCGCCCTCGGTAGCTTTCCTACATTTCATCTCAATGGCGACGACGTCACCTTTACCATTCACCCTTGTATAGCATGAATCTGCTAAAAAGAGATATCGAATGGAGGCGGAAAGCAAAATCCGCTTCAGTCGTAATAACGTTTCCGGCGGAAGGAACACACCTTTGGAACAAAGCTCATGCTCGTTGAAATATCTAGAAAGGCACTCGTTGCTGTGGCGACACCGGCAGCGTGCCATCCACATTACCAGATCTGCTATTTGAATCCAAATCTTCTCATCGTCGCCGTTCGCGATACGTACATGAACAGCCAGCGAGGGGGAGACGAAATCAAGAAATTTGGAGATCGTTCTGGCGAGTCTGGATATGGTAGAATTCATGTTCCCGAAAGCACCAAAGTGATGGCCCTCACTATGATCGTTGATGGCTTCTGATGATATAGGGGACGCTGAAAATACAGCCCATTGCAGAACCAGATGATGAACTATGGACAGCAATAATTTAAAAGACTCATGATCAAGATGCTGATTGGGGATTTTAAGGTTCTCAATCTGATTAAAACACCGCCCATTTGGTGCATCAAAGGTGTTATCAAGACTGTTCGGCGCCGAAGACGTGCTCAATGCCAGCGACCAGCCCCATCCTTCACAAGCTACCCGAACAGCTTCCTCAGCGATAGATACTAAATGTTGTAGGAAACTCTGAGCAAACTGAGAATCGGACGCCAAATAATGCAAAGTATCTGAGGACGATAAAGAAGAAATGTCGCCTTCGCTTCGGAGTCTCGGAGTCGGAAGATAACAAAGTAGAGGGGTTTGCGCCACAAAAAAACTGACGATGCGCAGAAAACGAGCAGTCGGTTCCATCCCGTCTGATTTACCTTGGGGAACCACTGACAAAATCTGCCGCTGGAAACTCCACTGAATCTCCCAGCATTGATGTTGAGTCTGGCGCGCTAGATCAGGAGGCAAGAAAGGACCTAAACGGTAATGCAATTCCCACCACACCCAGGAATTATTTGCTGTGAGTAACAAATCAGCAATTGTCAATCGTTCAAACTTAGCATCCTGTGTTTTCATCCGCTCCGCAGTGAAATATTGAGATATGCAAAGCGGCGCCAGATGAACTCGAACGAGCTCTAGAATCCCATCAGCACTAGATATCAAATCAAGATCTAAGAAAGCGAGAAGCACGACGCATGCATGCAATCGATAAAGGCACGTAGAGTACGACGAATAGAGACCATGTACTGTTGCTGAGCTATCGTGGACGGAAGAAGTAGCACTGTGTGAAGCGGGTTCTCCAAGGGACTCGTGCAAGCGGACCAGCCAGGCCAACAGACAACGAATAAGAGTTTCACGAAGTGGTGTCAACATCGTGCGAGCACTCTGGGCGTCTTTTTCCGACCAAACAGGTTCTTTAATCCACGCGAGTGCGCCCTCCGAGGAACTGGCGTCCTCGCTTACCCCAGGGTTCTTGAATTGACCTTCCGTTAATGCAGAGTCCCCCGCAATTTCGGGAGGCATTACCCGTGATGTTTCTTCAAAAAAAGGATGTGAAAAAATGGACCTTTCTCCTACAAGTACACCTTTGTCAAGTTGTAGTAGCATAAGCATCATACAGTCATGTGGGCTTAACAGACAAGCATTCCCTTTAACCACTTCTATCAGCCGTCGTGCCACAACTTCACTATGATAGAAAGGATACTCCACTATCAAAAGGCTCAGAGCAACATTTGCGAGTAAAGGTGCCATAGAAAGGCGTGCCTGGAGTCGATCCCCCATGGAAAGGGCTCCGCGTTTTGATACAAATTTGCTAAGCTTAAAAGGGCGGCAAATATCGACGGTGCGTTGAAGCGACGAGTGATTCATCCTGCGCAGAAAGTAGACTGATCGCGCAAGCATCAATCTGACAAAACGCTATGATGTTATCAGACGCATACAAATGTAGATAGAGAGGTAGATATGCACCGCTTTCACCTTTCTCTGGGCGTTTAGACGAAAGGCAGATCCCCGTCGCTACCTTCAGGATAGTGATCACCGCAAAGATGAAATGGTCAGGGCAGAGCACCACAAACCTGTTTTTTTTTTAATTTGCCTATGTGAATGTAAGTAGGTGTGCAGCCTTAAGTCAAATTGGAAAAGGAAGCAAATTTACATAAAGATGCTTGAATGGCATGAAAACAAACACGTATTCTCCCTTGATTGGGCAGCTACGAATATGCACATTTGACCATCAAAATAAGTTTTTAATTATTAACTGAATTAGTTTAACACTTTAACGTCGTTATAATTTGTGAAGGGGAATTAAAAAGGGGCTTATTCACACTCAGCTGATTCGGAGCTTCTTGTTGCAGTTGCCCTCATTGTCGTCAGGAAGGGTATTAGTCAATCCTTCAGCTAACTCCTCGTTGCTGGGTCCCCCATCTTGGGCCTCAGCCGCAGATTCATCGCCTTCATCAATCTGAAGTTCATCCAACATTTCCTCTAAGCTGATTTGCGGTATCTCATCATCGCCCTCATCCTCATCCGCTTCTTTAGTAATGCAAACTCCATCCTCTCCGTGCTGTGTGTCTGCCACGTTGCCAGAGTGGTGTCGCCGCGCAGTAGGCTCCAGCTCACTTTCCATCTTCTTGTATATGTTAATATCTTTGCGGAGCTCCTTATCGTACTCGATTTCATCTTCAAATTCAGCCTCATCGTCTGGAGCGTCGTCCATGAGATTCCCGTGGCGTGTACCGCGCGAAGAGACGCCATGATTATTGCTACTCCCACCCGGATGTCCCGCAGTGCCCATAGTGGTACGATCTCCTTGAGAAGTGACTATATCGAGTTTCTTCAGCTTCCACAGCCGTCGATTACGGTGGCGTCGCTGTGATGGGAAATATTTGCGCACTAAAATCACATCCTGAAGCTCTTCAGATCGGTAACGCCCCTCGTCTAAGTCCTCATTAGAAACGTTTCGCGAGCTGAGGAGGTAGCCCTTCACAAGGTCCCCCGGGTTAAGAATCCCGCCAAGATGCGACTGCACGACCCACTCGCGTCCTTTACCTATTTCAGACGACAAACACACGGTCACCAAGCCCAGCTGATAAATCCCATTGGTGTAGGTCATCGGGCTGCACTCTAGGACGTAAAATTCTGACATCTCGCGTGTCGTCAAAAGAGAAGGAAAAGGTTTCTTCCAATACAGTGAACCCGTGACTTCGCCCGCACGTAGGGTTTTGGGATCTAAGAAGACGATGGAGCTATAAACCTTGTGAACCAAAACTAAAGGTCCCATGCCCCCCATTGATTTCAGATAAAAGTCTTTGTACGGTAGGAGGACGAGATCGCCTCTACACAGCGGAGCGATATCGAGAGAGTAGGTGTAGTGCTGAACCGCGGTGTTGTTTTTCGAATCATGCGAAACTAATTGCACCGCATCGCGACGTGTTACGGGGGCCATCCGATGTAAAAACTCAATGAAGTTCAGAGCGTGGCTCTTATGGCCAAAATAGAAGTCGAGTCCATCTGGTTGGCTCTCAATGCGAGTAAAGTTTTCGTGTAAGCGCTTCTTAAGAATGACCTGCTCTAGATATAGAAAGGTTTTTTTGTGACTCACCTTTTGCCGAAGCTGAACGCATGCATCCCATTGAGGCTGGCCGGTGGCGACCTTCTGACAGGTCGGGCACTGCTGCCAGTTCACACAATACTGGATCTGGCATGATTGTTGGATCACAATGTTGCTGAGAACCTCTTTTTGCACTGTGAGGTTAACAAAAATGCGCTTGCTGTGTGGCTCCGACCACAGAAATTTAGCATCTACTAGTCGAGCCTTATTGGCAGAGCTGCCATTGGCACCCCCACCAGTGGTATTTCGAATCCCCTTAATGCGTTTCAGGCAGATCGTCAGCAACTCACGACTTTCCAAATCTGCGCGGGCCCAATAATTCGGCGGTTGCAGATAGCGCTGACACTCAGGGCAGTAAATCAGGATGTACTCCTTTTGGATATCGTCAACGATATCGACATGCGCCCGAAGACAGTTGGGGCACATGTTACTGGGGTTGCTGTCGATGAGGAGCCCACAGATACAGCAGTGAATCTTGGGAATGAAAGACTCCTGCCTATGTTCATTGTCAAGGTTCATTGTCTTTGAGTTGTGGGGTGCTATTTCAGTTCTTCCTCACGCTGCCTTATTTAAATAGTATACCTACAAGGTTTTGTAGGATAAATCGTAAATGTGAACTAGCCTATTTTCTGTCTTCACAGCTAACGACTTGATCCAAGAAAGAAAATAAAGCAATAGTAAGGGGAAAGCATATTTTTATTCACCATAAAGAGAAAAAAGGAGTCACACATGACTCGTTAATTCAAAGAAGTACATGTCAAGCGCAGCTGCCTTTGAAATATAATGGGTTTGTCATAACGATAAACGATTATGCACTAAACACAAATCGTACTAGACGTGAAGAATAAATCTTCCAGATTTTTTATACGAAGTTGAGGAAATAGACAAGTCTTTCACAACTCCAACAATCCGGTAGCGTAACGCTCAAACATTGTTCGCATCTCTTGCTTTTTTGACTGTTTTCTAGAAAAAAACAATGAAAAAAATGCATGACACTTGTTACGCGACGCATTAGGACAAGACAACAAGGTGGTCAAAAGTTCCAATACGCAACCCAGAAGGCTTCAAAATTCAAGCCTAGTGTATTAAAAACGAGACGATGATATTTCAAATAGTAACACAATGCCTATAGTCCCTCTATACTAGATAACAAGACCTTTCAGCGATAAAAAAAGATTGTAAAACATAATCACCTTACGCATCACTAAGTGGTGACAACGTTCTATAGAAATGGATAAATCATTATCTCTTTTCTTTCGGAGATGATATTTAAGATTAAGAAGAAGCCTAGATACTTTAAATACAGAACTGAAGTCCCGTTAGACACCCTCACCAATGGAATATCCTAGAACTGCAAGATACAAATACGTACCACAACATTTGTGAGAAAGTATGATATCTCACTTTTCAATGAAAACATATTTAGAGATTTAGTGTGTAATTGGATATAAATCAATTGCGATTTAGTTCAGCAAAACACATGATAGACAATGCTTATACAATCAATATCATCGCGTGCAAATAGAAAGGAAAAATTCATATACTTTTCTCAAGTAAGCCTAATACTGTTCCTTACCGAGTAGAATCTAAATAGATACTTTTTGAAGTATATAGTGCAACAGTTGTCTTTATAAATGTATATAGTAACGATTTCGATAAATCTTTAATTGCAATAAAAATAATATATTATGCATATTTTTATCATTCTAATATGACTTTACCGCGAAGAAAATATTAGGAAACAATTTCATTTGGTTTACATATATCGATAAAGTTAAATATATGAATGATAAATAAGAACCCATTCACTAACACTCAAAAAGGAGCGCATAAATGACTTTGTTGAAAAAATTGAGAAATGCTAGCATAGAAAAAGGTTGTCACGGCTACTCTCGACAAATTGAAGGTTGCTCAAAGACGAATTCATAAGTGCAAAACAAAGTCCCTCGATACGGTCTGGATTATTATCTGAGACAAAAACTGTGCGAACTTCAGTACTTCCCGGTAAGTTTACTAACCATATATCCCCACCAAACATCATAAGCGATATAAGGCTTCATGATTGTACTCTTTCAACAAAATATGTAAACGTCCAAATAAAATCATCAGTGAAATAAGTGTTATGATATTGTAAAATATTCTTGAAAAAATTACTTGTAATGTGTAGTTCACTAGTGTCAATTCAAATAAAAATCCTGCTGAAGATTGCATAAAGACTCCTCATACAATGAGTCCACTCGAAGGCTTTAGATTTTTTGAAATAGATTCCTTAAATATCCTTATCTCATTTCTATATAGATAAGATGCTTATTAGGCAGAACATATTTCGACGATAACATATTCAATGAAAGCTGGCAATTGAACGAAAAGGAATAAATATCTCTTTCTTAATCATAACAGCAGAAATAGACGGAGTGTAAATATTCACATCTTCAATTAAACTTGAAAGCAAAAATTTCATCACTCAAGTAGAGATCAACGTTAAAACCTGCAAATCAGATGTAATTTTAATCGATAATGAACTTGTGAAGAAGAGAAACTTCATTTAAAAGGATTGTTCTATAACCATCGTGCTGCGGCTTAGGAGAGCCCAACGACTTGAGGCCTTCAGTTTTCAAGAATTCATCATACTTCATAACAGATCATGCAAAAGTACTTGAATTATCGCTACGTAAACAGGAGGTTACAAGAATAATAGGTACTTCGAGCAATCCTTTTTGAATCATGAAAACATTAAAATGCTTCTATACTCAAGGATAATTTTTTACGATTCAAGCATTTGGAAAAAATGTGCAGCAGAGTAGTAATTTAACACGAATGCAGAAGAAGAAAGGACGAATTGTGCTTACCTTCTTTTTTTTTTGAGATGCTACGTTCGGAAGGAAATTCAGCTTGCTTGTTAAATGGTAGGTACTTAATATATATTAAAAAAAAAAAATGGAAAGTAAGACTAATAAAAAGTAAATGTGAAAAGAACAAAATATACATTAAAAGCAATTACAGCTCATCAATAATTTTTCAAAGGCTCAACAAAAAGTGGCACGTATATACTAATAATAGACAATAGCAATTACCTTGATCTTATTTTCTGGTTGCTCCCTTTTGCGAAAATATCTTATATATACGATAATATCAATACACCTATCGAATTGTATAGACTAATAAAAAAGCTTTTATATACTAGTTTATAATGTACTTTCATCCATCAGAGAAAAATTTCACCTAGCGGATACACAATACAAACAGTATTTTGTTTGCATCCTAAAAAAAATTGTATAGGCATAAAAATTTAATAATCGCAAATAGTAAAAAGTTCAATATATTTTTTCACGATTTTAAAATTATTTTCTTTTTATGCAACAATGTATCACTAAACGAAACTTGCACATAACTGCAAAGGAAAACTATAAATGCATATTTTAAATCGCATTACTCCACAAAGGGTAAACTAAAAGTAATATGTGGTAGAATCCACTCTATATATCAAGAAGGATGTTCGCTGCTCAATGAAGAAAAGCTCGAGTCAAATGCGTACGTCTCAAGTCTATCAAGAAGAGGTGTCATACGCTCAGAAATTACTGATATTGGTGTCCCACCAGCTTTAACGTCTTTTAACGTCTGGAGGAGGGATTCATCGGCTTCAATTTGAGAAATTCCTGACTCACGAACATAATCACGAACTGTATCGCGCCACAGCTCCGCTGTGGGCGATAAAACATAATTTGATGATGTAGCCAAAGGGTCCACAGGCTCAATTGGTGCTTCAAAGTTCTCCACAGTATTCAAAATTTGTTCCGCCTCCTCATCCAGTTCAGCAGAAATTTGATGAGGTTTATGCAAATCCATTGGCTTCATCAAAATTTGAATACGGCAATCTTGAATGTGGATTCCTTTGCAATGCTCATTAGTGCAAAACTTGTCGTTACAAGAATAATTCTGAAGACGAAAAGCCTGTTCAAGACGACCGTCTGTGTATATAGTTTTAAAAAACGGTATCCAAGTGTTATAACAACGAACCGTCACTTTATTTCCATAACGTGCAAAAAAAATAGAGTCCTTTATTCTTTTAATAATTTCCTCCTTCGTGCGCTTCTCCTTAATTAATATTTTCGCTAGTCGTTGAAAAAAGTTCAAACGGTGTCGAACAGGTCCCGCTTCTTGCAAATGAAACTGATTACAGTCGAAATCCTGATAGCATCTATGATCCGCTAAATGCAAGTTGCAAAAGGCACCTTTAGGTTCACGCGGGACTTTCCTCTGGGAAGGTAATTGAGGGCCTCTCAACCGACTTTGGCAATCAAGAAGAGAAATGAGCTCGGTTAGGCAAGTGCGGTCATTTTTGTTTAAAATATTAAAAAGATGCTCAGAAAGTACCTTCCGAGACTCCTTAGCATATTTAACGGTATCTGATCCACCTACATTACGCTCTATTAAACCTTTTAGTAGGGTATCATATGCCTTAATCCAAGCAAATGCTGAAGCAGACGTTACACTTTGAGCAAAAAGATGTAGCACGGTAACTAAAAGGCCCACAGTTGGTTTAAACACATCAGCTACTTTCGAAGGAGGATATGTTATAACATTTCCAAGAATCGGGACACCATTCTCATCCACGCGTGACAAATAGGATCGAAAGTCAAGGCCCATATCTAATACATGTAAATTATTCGGTGCCGATAATGTTAATTGCGGTCTCGCAGGTCTCGACATTTCCACTAATCTCAATATGAGGTGCTAAAATAAAAAATGTGTGTTTATAATTTATTTAGCCATATTAGGGAAATAAAGTGAAAAAAAGATTTTTCATTATGTTTCATGAAAGCATATACACCATGTTTATTATTTTAAAAATAATATGTTAATGTTGTTATATATATATATATATATATATTTCATGCTTCGCACATTTACAATTATATGTATTTTAGATTGCCACTTCTTCGCTCGTGCTCGATATGTATATTCCGTTCATGCAAGCATCGCGTTAGTTCATGAAGCTCACTCTGAAAAATGCATGAAGACAATATTACTTGCTGAAGGTCACCTTTGCCAGTCCTTTTGATCTCATCTAGGTATTGCTCAATACTGTCCTCTAAATTCTTTAAAGCTACAGATATCATCTAACGTGACAGATCGTTTTTTGTACACTTTTTACTAAAATGCCCCTTTTGCCTAAAGCCTTCCACTTTATAATAAATAAAAATTTGAAGAAAACAGCTACGCCGAACCTTGTGAAATCACTACTAGTACATAAAAATAAATACATTATGCGGGGGGGAGTAGGGTACATCCCCCCGAGTTACCTGCAGAACAAAATCGACAATAAAACATACAACAAAATACAATAAACACCTATACCCACCATTACCCTGACCTACAAAGATGAGGGGACCTTATCCATGCGCGTTCCCGGCGGTGCGTGTGGGGGGGAAGGGCTGCAGGAAGAATTAAGGCCCGCGCCAGAACATGCGGCACAGCCATGTAGGGGGAGCATAAAAAAAAAGAACTGACAACGATGACGTAGAGTAAAAAATGGCTGTCGTTTTTTTCCCCGGGGCGAGGCATCCCCAGGTGCGTTCTACTCGGCAGCATCGGTGGGGGGTCGGCGTCCCTCACCTCTTTCCCCCTCCCTTCCCAAATATGTGGTTGGACTAAATCGGCAGAAGCACGAATTAAAGTCAAAAAGCTGTGAGGGTTTTACGGTGATCGAGTGGCTCAAGACCGCCCAGGCAAGAGTTTGTCTTTTATTATATTGGTCGTAGCCGCAGGGTTTTACTTTGATGGTACAAATGTTGTGGATACTCGGCTTCGCACGAAAAGTTTGCGCACCATGCCTTTCCGCCACGGCTGGGTGTAAAGCTTTGTCGGAAAGCAGAGTATGGATATCCGTTTTGTGTGAATCATACTACTATGGGTTTTGTTTTCATCAAATTGTTCTTCTCTTTCAATTTTTCCCTCACAAGCATAAGTAAACGCCTGCCAAAAATACTATACATAAATACAATGCAGCGTATGTACATACCGTCTGACCAAGTCTTCAAAGACGAACTGCAAAACAGCACTTATCCGAATATTGAATCAGGCAGTCTACTTGAAAAGCATGTGAATAATGAGCTTGAGCGAACTAACAACCCAAAGAAACTATACAAATTCCAGAGACCAAGAGAGTTTTCGTTCAAAGGAAGGGCTGTTACAGCTGACTTAGCGGTAAAGCGCATCCGTTACAATGGTTTACCCAACAGTTACACACATCGTGAGGAAACTGAGTATAACGATCGTGATGTTGAACTGATGAGAATGATTCAGCGAGCCAGTAAGAAACCAAGGGCTGATAACCAGTTGGATAAAGCTGTAGCACCGAACGATAATGTGCTTAAATCCAAGCTTCTCACAGATAAGGATGCGATTGCATTTTTCTCTATCCATGGAGACAAAAGCGCGCTGAAGTATGTGATCCTAAACCCACCTCCTCAATCACTTGAATTTCGCCCATATGACCTTGTTGTTTCGGATAAGGGTGAAGAAAAGGGTGAGCATTACATCATGAGTGCCACAGGTGTAGTGCATGTGCGCCCGAACTGCCCATCTGAAGTGATATCATTAGGTGATTGGGTGGAGGAAAAGTCCCTCTTTAACGTTTTACGAAGGATTCCATTCTTCAAAAACTTTTTGTTATACAAAGCTTTCTTTCGTCTGTACAAAAAGTTGAGGGAGAAGAAGTTTGCCGCCAAGAGAAAGATGCTCTCCAATGACTTCCTACTTATCAAGTCGACGTTTTTGGCGACCCAGCAGGATATTTGTAAAACATGCAATGAGTTATCAAATGTAGCGTTGATCGCGTACGAACCGCAAGGAAAGCACGACTTTTTTGTAGAAGACTTCCGAACGCAGCAGCAAAGACAGAGGCATAAAGCAAACGCAGAAATCAACGCTACCTTGGAACGTGTGGAAGACAAGGTGACAAAGTTGATCAATTGCTTGCAGAGCCGAGCAGATGTTCCAGATATGACCACTCGAGCTGCTATTGAGCAGTATCTTATGTCGACTGATCTATCTTCCGGAGAACTCAAAAAGGCGAAACTGCTCAAATCTATGATTGAAAGTAAGGCCGAACAATTAAGAAAACTGCTTGAACTCAAGCGAAGTCTCGTTGAGTACAGCCAAATTGACATCTTTGTGAGGTTGGTAGACTTCATGATGTCTGAAAATTTGTTCAAAAACGCATTATCTACCTCGCAGACATTCTTTAATACTCTCCGAAATCAAACCGGTGAAAGCATCCGAAAGGTTGGTTTCCAAGTCTTGCTTAACCCGAAACTTACCAATATGGATTTTGATCCCTCCGCCACAGTAGTAAAAAACTTGTGCGTTGAAATGCTAAACGGATATTCCGATGTTGTTTCTTCAGTTACTCGTCTAAGCGAGCAGCGGTACTTCAAAGCTTTTTTCAAGAAAAACCCTCGCTTATGGAATATTGGCCTGAAGATTAAGAACGATGCTCGCTTTAATTTCCTTCAACAAAGCACAATACGAATCATAAGCAACGATTACGAACTGGCATACGTGCGAATGGGTACCTACAATGCAGTACTGCCTCATATTCACTTTCTTCAGAAAGAATGGGTCCAAATTGAAAAAGAGCAGTTATTGGAGACTAAAGAAACGTCACATTCTTCAACAAGCCTTGCCAAACTCTATCGACGTCTGCAACAAGCGCAGGATTCATTACGAGTACTCATGTCAACATTCGTTGGGAACACTTTGTGGATTAATGCGACAAAGCTTAAGTCGGAAATCGAGCCTCGAGTCCTAATATTGAGAGAGGAGGTTGACATGACTTTACGTTCTGTAACTTGCGATATCATTCTCAAGCTTCATTCGAACTTCAAACAGAAGATTCAACTCCTAAATGAACGCCCCAAAAACCTCAGTGATTTTGCTGATTATGTGGAGGAATACAAAAAGGTCAAAGCCGAAATGCCTGCAATTGAAAACACCATTTCTCAAGCGGAATCACTCTGTGAGATCATGGATCGTTATCAAGTAGAATTTGCGGAAGATGAAGACAAGCAGCTCAAGGAAAGAACACTTGGCAATTCCTCTATGGTGGCTTCCCTCCATGCTATTTTTGATGATGTGTGCCTGAAAGCTGAGGAATTCATTGAGGAAAACATGCCGATTCACATCGAAACGTTGGAGTCTCAGGTTGCAAATCTAGAAGAAGAGTGCGCAGGAATTCGTCATATTCTTTCTGGGAAGGAATTCGTTACTTTGGTTGACATCATTGAAACTGTTATGGAATATTTAGACAGTATCATGGCGAACCTGGATGATATTGCAACAACACGAGCCTGTCTTTCTCGATATGCAAAGCTTTTCGATTATACTTCGCTCAGCTGGGCTGTTTTGGAAGAAACAGTTTCCCTTGCTAAGTCCCGCAAAGAAACTTGGACATTGCTCGATGAATTCAGCAAGAAAGTACAGTTTTGGTTTGAATGTCCACTGAATGAACTCAATACTGAAGATATGGAAGAAGAAGTGATCTCAATGCTAAGACGCTCCGATGCGGCTAATCGTACCATAAAAGCAAAGGACTATGAGGACGAAATCGTACCGCATTTGCTTCATGAGCTGCATGCAATTCGCCAGAATATGTCGACGATTCATGATTGCGGAAATAAGCACATGTCATCTGAACACTGGAATAAAGTTTTGAAAGAGATAGTTGGGCCAATGTTCACTTACCATAGAGGACTCAACCTCCACTTCCTAAAGGATCATGGTATTTTTGAGAGCAAAGAAACACTTTCAGAGCAATCTGGTCTTGCTACGGCTCAGTGGAAGGTTAACAACGATCTTGATGTTATCAGGGAAATATGGGATGCAATTGTAATTAATGTAAAGCCGTACAAAAATCGCGAAGGAGTGTTTATTCTTGCAGAGTTGGATGACATAATTCAGCAGCTCGATGATCATCAAGTTGAACTACAGACCATAATGGCCTCTCGTTTTGCAGCTTCAATCCGTGGTAGAGTAGAAACGTGGATTGATAACCTGCGCCTTGTTGCTACTGTCCTTGATGAGTGGATAACACTCCAGAAAAGCTGGATGTATTTGGAGTTTATATTTTCTTCAGATGATATCAAAGACCAACTTCCCGAGGAAAGCAAGTCCTTCGATAAAGTGGACCGATTTTTTTGTTCCTTAACCTCGAAGGCGTATGTGACTCGAAATGTCTATCGGATATGCACAGAGGACGGCCTACTGGATGATATCAAACACAATAATGAACTCATTGATCATATTCAGAAGCGATTAGAGGATTATTTGGAGACTAAACGTATTGCCTTCCCACGCTTTTACTTTCTATCAAACGACGAATTGCTTTCGATTTTGTCCGATACGCGAAACCCAAAAGCTGTTCAACCTCACTTACCCAAGTGCTTTGACTCAATTGCGTCGCTTATCTTTGAAGGTGTGGAATACAGTAGTATTCTGGGAATGGTGTCAGGTGAGGGAGAAAATGTCATGTTTACACGACCGATTCATCCCGTTGGTAGTGTTGAGCGATGGCTAAATGAGGTGGAGTGCATAATGAAAATTTCCATTCACATGCATATGCAAAAAACCTTGGAAGCATATTATCGCAGTAGTCGTAAGGCATGGTTTTTCAACTACCCTGCTCAGTGCATCCAGGCGGTGGATATGATCGTTTGGACAGGCGAAGTGGAAGAAGCAATTGCCACTGGGACCCTAAGCACATATCACACACATTACCAAGATCAAATTCTTTGCATGGTCCAGCTCGTTAAGGAGCCTCTGAGCAAACTAGAGCGCTCACTGCTCTGCACTCTTATCGTATTGGACGTCCATAACCGCGATATCGTGCAAATGCTGCATAATCGCCACGTGCAGGAGGTTAAAGACTTCAATTGGTACCAGCAACTGCGCTACTACTGGGAAAAGGACCCTGGTATGCCAAACGGTATGAACATCGGAATTTCACACTGCAATGCTCACCTGTGGTATGGTTACGAGTACCTGGGCAACCAGGCACGTCTTGTGATTACCCCTCTCACCGATCGCGCCTTCTTAACATGCACCAACGCGCTATCCATGAACCTCGGCGCGGCCCCGCAGGGTCCTGCCGGAACTGGGAAAACGGAGTCCGTGAAGGATCTTGGAAAGGCACTGGCTCGCCAGGTGGTGGTGTTCAACTGCTCAGAGGGAATAAACTACAAGACGATGTCTCGCATGTTCGCCGGCCTTGCTCAGGCTGGTGCGTGGGCTTGCTTCGATGAGTTCAACCGCATTGAACTGGAGGTCTTATCTGTTGTTGCGCAACAAATGCTTGAAATAACGACCGCACTTAACCAAAAATTAGAAAGGATGAATTTCGAAGGTCATCCAATTCAACTGAACAAAAACTTTGGTGTTTTCGTTACCATGAACCCCGACTACGCTGGTCGAAATACTCTTCCCGATAACTTGAAGGCGCTATTCCGTCCAATATGTATGATGATTCCAGACTATGCACTCATCGCTGAAATCATGTTTTACTCTGAGGGCTTTGCCGATGCCCGAGCGTTAGCCAAGAAAATGGTGCAGCTTTACAAACTCAGCTCAGAGCAACTGTCCAAGCAAGATCACTACGACTTTGGTATGCGAGCGGTGAAATCGATTCTCGTCATGGCAGGCACCCTCAAGAGGAACGAAGCCGATGTAAACGAAGATATGCTGCTGATTCGAGCCATACGCGACGCAAATGTGCCCAAATTCCTGCGAGATGACAACATCCTCTTTCTGGCCCTTGTAAAGGATTTATTCCCTTCCATTAAGATTGAAGAAAGCCATAACGAACTGTTGTTGGATTATGTGAAGCGATTGATGGAAAGGGATGGACTCCAAATTGTTGACGGTATGATTACAAAGACGATTCAGCTTTATAACACCTTGGAGGTGCGCCACGGCTTGATGATGGTGGGGCAAACCCTGAGTGGGAAATCGACCGTAATTCATACGCTTCAACACGCGCTCACCAGCATTAAGACGGACGGCCACAACGAAGATGAGCGATATCCTTTTTATAATCGAGTTCATGTGCATTTGTTGAACCCCAAATCCATAACGATGGGTGAGCTCTACGGTCATGTTAACGAAATCACACGTGAGTGGACGGATGGTGTTCTCAGTGGTATCGCACGCAACATCACCCGCGCGGCACTTGACAAACCTGATCGACATTGGGTGATATTCGACGGCCCTGTCGATGCCTTGTGGATTGAAAACATGAACACCGTATTGGATGATAATAAGCTCTTGTGTTTGTTCAACGGTGAGCGCATTAAACTTCCCAACACAGCGACGTTCATGTTCGAGGTGCAGGATCTGAAAGTCGCCTCCCCTGCAACCGTTTCGCGTTGCGGTATGGTGTACATGGAGCCGTACTACTTGGATGGTCACCGGGGCTGGGTTCCGATCGCGAAATCTCTCATTAATCGAAAAGCAAAGACAAACGAAAAGATGCAAAGTGAACGGCTGATGAGCCTCTTAGAGCAACTCGTTCCGGATACCTTGGACTTCGTTCGGCAGAATTGCAACGAGTGGATCTCGTCGGTGGATGTCCAACTCGTGATCAACTGTATTGAGCTCTTATTTGCGTTCATTAAAGCACAGAAGCAGAGCAGCCTTTGGCCTGTTGGAGTTACCCGCCCAATTGAAGCAGCAAACAACGAGGCTGAAAACAATGACGATATTAGCGCGCCTAATTACGTATCCACTTCCCCGCTCAGCACGCCCGACTCACGCCGCAAAAAAAGCAGCTGCCCTCCCCCAGACGAGTTTCGATGCCCGCCAATCAATCACCCTACCGTCTCGGTACCGGATGAAGAAAGATTATTTGATATGTACTTTGTGATGGCGTTTATATGGTCATTCGGCGGGAATATACGCGATGACGCCCGCGCCGCTTTCAGCAATTTCTTCAAGGCAAAGGTATCTAAACTGATGCCTGGGTTATTGCCCAGCAGCACGGAAGAAAATCTCAGCATGTACAGCCTTGTCGTGCACCTCCCTTCCCAGCAGTTCACCACCTGGAATCATCTCGTTCCGGATTTTATCTTCCAGCCAGACGTGCCGTACTTTGATCACGTTGTACCCACTGCCGATTCCATCGCGCTCAAAACGATTCTCCATATCTTAACCAATGCCTCGCGAAGCGTTCTCATTAACGGGGTTACCGGAACCGGCAAATCCCTCACGGCGCTTAGCTTTCTGCAGGATACCCTTCGCTGCGATGAACCGGGCGCGTCGTGGGAGTACTTCAGTACCGTCCTCTCCTCCCAAACCCGCAGCAAAGACCTCGAGGCTCGTCTCCTTTCCAAGCTGATAAAGGTGCGAAGCAACGTGATAGGGGCCTCATCAGGGAAGACGGCCGTCTTTTTCGTGGATGATCTGAACATGCCGGCGTTGGAGCGGTACGGCGCTTCGCCGCCGCTGGAGTTGCTACGCCAGGTGATCACGCAGGGCGGGTTCTTTGATACGCATAAGGCACCCGCGACGTTTAAACACGTGCGGGATTTGGTCCTTTTAGCGGCCTGCGGCGTCCCTGGGGGCGGGCGAAACGAGATGACCGCACGCCTCACCTCGCGCTTTCATCTGTTATGTCAGCCCGCGATGTCGACGCGGACGACCACCCGCATTTTCGGCTCCATCCTGCACGGGTATTTATACCAGTGGAAGATACCGGAGGTTTTGGGGCTGTCGATGAAGCTGGTGGAGGCGACGCGGCTGTGCTACGAGCGCATCACGCAGGAAAAGCTCCCCACCCCAACCCGCTCTCATTACACCTTCAATTTGCGTGATTTCAGTCGGGTGATTCAGGGCATGATGCAGGCCTCGCCGCGGAGCGCGCCCGGAAAGGAGGATCTTTGCCGTCTGTTTGTGCACGAAGTCTCTCGGACGTTTCATGATCGTCTCGCCGACGAAGGGGATCGCCAGTGGTGGTGGAGTACTCTTAAAGGGGTACTGGAGAAGACGCTAAACTTCCCCTGGAGCGAGGAGTTCCCGAACCTCCTCTTTGGAGACTACATGCAGCGAAACCGCCTTCACTACGAGGAGATCCGTGATCAGAGCCAGATCCCTGAGATGCTCTGCGAGTATCTGAGCAGCTACAACATGACCTACAACAAAGAAATGGATCTGGTGTTCTTCCAGGATGCCATTAAGCACGTTTCGCGGATATGCCGTGCACTTCGGCAGCCGCGTGGGCATGCTTTGCTCGCCGGGATGGGAGGAACGGGGCGGCGATCGCTCTGCTGCCTCGCCGCCTCCATCTGCGATCTTCCCATTCACGAACTTGTTATCACTCGATCGTTCGGCCTCGCAGAGTTTCACGAGACGCTCAAAAAGGTGCTTTTGGAGAGTGGCGGACGCAACAAACCGGTGGTTTTCTTCATGTCAGACGCCCAAGTCGTCTGTGAGGAGATGCTAGAAGATATTAACAACCTCCTCAACACCGGTGAGGTGCCCGATCTCATGCAGCCCGAGGACGTGGATGCGGTGATTGAACTCGTTCGCCCGCTTGCGATCGCGGCGGGGAAAAAAGAAACCCGCAACGCGATCTTCTCGCACTTCGTCTCGATGTGTCGGGATCAGATGCGCATCGTGCTCGCGATGTCGCCTGTTGGGGAAAAATTCCGCAGCCGCCTTCGTCTCTTTCCCTCGCTGGTGAACTGCTGTTTCATCGATTGGTTTGATCAGTGGCCGTCCGACGCGCTCGATGCCGTCGCCACGCGCGTGTTGGCGCCTGTTCCCATGGACGAGACCGTCAAGCGATCCTTAATCCAACTCTGCGTGCACATCCACCTCGATGTGCAGCGGAACTCCGTCGAGTTCTTTGACGAGCTCCGCCGACATAACTACACCACCCCAACCTCCTATTTGGAGCTGCTGAAGTGCTACCGGGAGTTTTTGGAAGAACAGGAGAGGAGCGTGCGGGAGCAGATCGACCGTTACCAAGGCGGGGTGAACACCCTGCGCGAGACCGAGCGGGTCGTGGACGACATGAAAGGGCAGCTCGTGGAGATGCAGCCGAGGCTAATTGAGGCCGCGCGTGATACCCAAATCCTCATGGAGAAGATCGAAAAAGAAAAAGAGGAGGCCGAGGTCGTCCGCAAGGAGTGCGCGCAAGACGAGCACAAGGCGAGTGAGATCCAGGCCGAGGCGGATGGCATCCGCGCCGAATGCCAGGCGGAGCTGAACAAGGCGCTTCCGATTTTGAAGGCTGCCGAGGACGCCTTGGCGGAGCTGCGGCCGGATGATATTCGCGAGGTTCGCAGCTTCCAAAAACCCGCCGCCCGCGTGGTGTTGGTGCTCGAGGCGGTGCTCACCCTTCTTGGGGAGAAGGACGTGAGCTGGGAGCGGGCGAAGCTCGTGATGAGTCGGATGGAGTTCATCAAAGACCTGCAGAACTACCAGCGTGACGAGCTCACCGAGAAGACGATTCGTTCGATTCAAAAGTTCGTCAACAACCCGGACTTTCAGCCGGATGAGGTCGCGAAGAGCTCCAAGGCCTGCCGCTCGCTTTCGTTGTGGGTGCTGGCAATCAACAACTACTACGGGGTGGTCAAGGTGGTCGCGCCGAAGCGGCAGCGCCTCGCCGAGGCGGAGGCGAAAGTCGAGGTCGCCAACGAATCCCTCCAACGCGCGCGCGGGCGGCTACAGCACATCGAGGACGCCCTCGCGCAGCTGCAGGCCGATATGCGCGAGAACACTCGACGAAAGGAGAAGCTCGAGGAGGATATCGACCTCATCACGGTCCGGCTTGGACGGGCCGCGCAGCTGATGACGGGGCTGTCCGCCGAGCAAGGGCGGTGGTCGGAGACGATCCTCGCGTTGGAGGAGGAGCGCGCCGGCCACGTCGGGCGGATCGCCCTCGCCGCGAGTTTCGTCGCCTACCTCGCGCCGTTCACGCAGCCGTATCGGGCGCGGATGCTGCGGGCGTGGGTGGACGCCTGCCGCGCCCTCCACGTGCCGATCGGGAAGGGCGATACGTTTGACGTCGCGAAGATCGTCGATCCGGTGCGGATTCGCGCGTGGGGGCAACAAGGCCTCCCGCAGGACGCGTTTAGCATCGAAAATGGGGTGGTGGTAACGAAATCGCGGCGGTGGTGCCTGTGCATCGATCCCCAGGCGCAGGCCGCGGGGTGGATTCGCGCGCTCGAGAAGGAGAACGAGCTGTGCGTGATCAAACTTACCGATGCGAATTACATGCGAATCCTGGAGGCCGCCATCCGGCGTGGGTTACCCGTGCTGATCGAAAATGTCGAGGAGTCTCTTGACGCGACGTTGGATCCGATCTTACTCCGACAAACCTACCACTCGCAAGGTCGTTTGCTGATTAAGGTGGGGGATAGTGAGATCAGTTACGATCCGAACTTCCGCCTGTATATCACCACGAAGCTCCCCAACCCGCACTACTCGCCGGAGCTGCAGATTAAGGTGACGATCGTCAACTTCACCGTTACCCAGACGGGGCTGGAGAATCAGCTGCTCGCGGATGTCGTCCGCTTTGAGTGCGCGGAGCTCGAGCAGCGCGCGGATACCACGATTTTAGAGATCTCCGAGGGCAAGAGCAAGCTGAAGGAGGTCGAGGATAACATCCTGAAGCTGCTCTCCTCGAGCACGGGGAATATTTTGGATAACGAATCCCTCGTGGCCGCCCTGCAAGACGCGAAATGCACAAGTGAGTCGGTCTCCGCCTCGCTGAGCGTCTCCGAGGAGACGCAGCGGGATATTCAGTGCGCGCGAGATCGCTACCGCCCTGTTGCCGCGCGCGGATCCGTGATCTACTCCGTCATCTCCGAACTCGCCGGGCTGGATAGCATGTATCAAAACTCCCTTGGTTTCTTTAAAAAGCTCTTTTTAAAGACGCTGAATCAAACCCCACGGCGGGAAAGCGTGGAAGAACGGGTGGCTCTCCTGCTCCCCGCGATCACGCTCGCGACCTACCGTACGATTTGCCGAGGGCTCTTTGAGAAGGATAAGCTGATCTTCGCCTTTCTCCTCTACTCTCATATCGCGCGGCACGCGAAGGTGATGCGGGAGGAGGAGTGGTTTTTCGCCCTCAAAGGCAGTGAGGGGCAGGATTATTTGAGCGATCCCGCGAGGGGGGCGTTGCCCGCGCCGGAGTGGCTGCCCGCCTCGCAGTGGAATGAGGTGGTGGCGCTCGCAACGCGAATCGGGCGGTTCGCCGCCCTCCTCGACGACGTGCACGCGAACTCAGCGGAGTGGCGCGCGTGGTACGCGGATGATAAGGCGTACGAGCGATTCCCCACCTTTGTTACCTCGCGCGAGGTGGCAGACGAGGGAAAAGACGAAGAGGAAGAAAAAGAGGAAAAAGAGGAGAAGAAAGAGAAGGTTATGGAGGATACGGCGCCCGCCTTGCCCCCTCGCTTCTCAAGCTGGGAAAAGCTCCTCCTTCTCAAGTCCTTCCGCGAGGATTTGTTCAACCACGGCCTCACCTTGCTGATCACGGAGCAGCTCGGGAAGGAGTTTTTGGAGTCCACGGCGTTTGATCTCGAGGGCTGCTTCCGGGATAGCTCGCCGTCGGCGCCGATTATCTTTGTTTTGATCTCCGGAACGGATCCGACCTCGCTGTTCACCGAGTTCGCCGATCGGATGGGCTTCCAATCCCGCCACTACATGCTCTCGCTCGGGCAAGACCAGGGCGATAAGGCGGAGAAGATGATTCGCGACGCGTGGCTTGAAGGGGCGTGGGTGTACTTGCAAAACTGCCACCTCTACGCGTCGTGGATCCCCACGCTGGAGCGGTTGATGGAAGGGATGGTGGAGAGCACGGTGCACCCGAGCTTTCGGCTTTGGCTGACGACGATGCCGACCCCTGCCTTCCCCGTTCTGCTGCTGCAATCGGGGGTGAAGGTGGTGAAGGAACCGCCGAAAGGGCTGCGCGCGAATATCCGCGATACCTTCACCCAGATTATCACCCCGAATCTGTGGGAAAACGGCTGTGTGCAGAACCCGACCGTGTGGCGTCGGTTGCTCTTTTCCCTTGCGTATTTTCACGCGGTGATTCAGGAACGGCGTCGATTCGGCCCGTTGGGGTGGAATATTCCTTACGAGTGGAATCAATCCGACCTCTCCGCGAGCATGCACACCCTCTCCACCTATATCGGCAGCGAGGGCAGCCCATTGCCGTGGAATGCGATTTACTACATGATCGGCGTGATCAACTACGGCGGGCGCGTAACGGATTTTCTGGACAACCGGTGTTTGGAAACAATCATCGGATCCTTTTTAAACCCCGATGTGGTGTGCGAAGGGCAATATAACTTCACGGCGGATGGGGTCTACGGCATTCCCGCCGATACGACCTCACTCCGCGCGATGCAGGAGTACCTCGGTGGGTTGCCGAACTTCGAAAGCCCGGAGCTCTTCGGCCTCCACCTCAACGCGGATACCACCCTCAACCGCAGCACCGTGCGGAAGGAGCTCGCCGCGGTGCTTTCCGTGCAGCCGCGGACGAAATCCTCCACGGCGGCGGCGGCCTCCTCTTTACCGAGTTCACCCTCCTTCGCGGCGGGAGGGGGGGGCTCTCCCGAGGCGCGGACGCTCGCGCTCGTGATGGAGCTCAAACGGCGGCTCCCCGCGCCGATCGAAAAGGCGCGCGCGCACCCCTCCACCTACCGCGTGGCGGAGGGCGGCACCATCACCTCCCTCGGCACCGTCGTCAGCCAGGAGGTGGATGTGTTCAACAGCCTCGTCAAGATGCTCGAGCGCTCCCTCACGGAGCTCCAACGCGGGATTAAAGGGGAGGTGGTGATGTCGTCGGAGCTCGACGAGATGCTTGATGCGATCCTCCTCGGCAGCGTCCCGCGAACGTGGCTGGAGCAGGGGTATCTTTCCCGAAAACCGCTCGCGTCGTGGTTTACGGATACGCTGCAGCGGGTGGAGTTCTTCCGCGAGTGGAATGATCACGGGTTGCCGAAAAGTTTCTGGATTTCGGGGTTTTACTTCCCGCAGGGGCTTCTGACGGCCTTCTTACAGACCTACAGCCGTCCGCGCAGCATCCCGATCGACGAAGTCGTCTTCGAAACGCGCGTCACGCGGTACGCGCGGGTGGGGGACATCGACACGGATAGCAGCGATGGGTTTTACATCCACGGGCTCTTTCTCGAGGGCGCCCGCTACGACGTCGGGATGGAGTGCCTCGCGGAAAGTCGAAAAGGTGAGCTTTTCACGGAACTGCCGGTCATCCATCTGATGCCGGTTCGCCATTCCTTGCAACTCCCCCCGGAAAAGCGAACGGAAGGGGGGGCGACGTACGCCTGCCCGGTATACAAAACGGCCGCCCGCGTGGGAATGCTTTCCACCACAGGGTTGTCGACGAATTACGTGATTTCGCTCGATATTCGCGCGGGAAATGAGTGCGACGACGTGTTTAATACCACGCCGGAGCATTGGATTCAACGCGGCGTCGCGATTCTATGCATGCTCGATGACTAGAACCCCTTCCCGGTTGCTGCTGCGTGAAAAAGCGCCAAAGGAAAGAGGAGGAACGGTGATAAGCCTGAAAACTCGTTTCATTTTGGTTAGATTCCTCTTTTCTTTTTTCTTTTAGACACGAATGCCTCGGAAATATTTCGCGTATCAATCGAAACACAAGTCAGTGATGGTTTCTCCCAATTTTGAAGCACTTTGGGGTATGCAAGACGATGAAAGCTAAGTGTCCTTTTCGCTTAGTCGCGTATTTTTTTTTGTTTTCTTTTGGAGCGGGGGCTATTCATAGATGTATAGGGGGAATACGAGAGACGTTCGTATTTCCCCCCCCCCCTCTCCCTTTAAGTTTAGAAGTCATTCTCTTGCTTTTTTCCCGTGTTCAATATGTAAAACTTAGATCGGAATGAATTCATTTTTAAGCCAGGCGGCTCCCATCCGGGGTGATGGCGCTCACGCCCTGGAGGCCGCCTTGGTGGGTTCGTCCCCCCTCCCTCCAGCATGTTTTTTATCCGACGGGAGTGGTTTGTATCCATGTATGTAAGTAAAAATAGCGATCGAACTCGATTTCTCTCTCGATATCTATTTGTAGAGGTGTGTGGGGGTGGCGGTGCTGGGTTGGATGGATGGCGTGCGATTCCCCCCCGATCCCACCTCCACGCCGATGGGCGTGGCCCCCCCTCGCGGGTCGATGCCGCCATGCGGCGGCGTGCCCGCGGGGCGCGCTTGGCTTCTTCTGTGGACTCTCCCTCTTCCCCCCCCTCTTCTGACGGTAGGAGTTGTAGCACGGGTGTGACATCGCATGCGGGGCTTCCGACGCGGCCGGGGCCTGG